TTTTTTTTTTTTTTTTTTTTTTTTTTTTTTTTTTTTTTTTTTTTTTTTTTTTATTGTTTGGTCCGACTCGTCGTAGGTATCTGCCTTCAGTTTTTGTTTCGACTCTTTCAGTGTTTTCTTTTTTTTCTTTCATACAAGTGGAACTTTTAAAGTTTTATGACTATATAATTTAAAAAAAATGTATACGATGCGAATCTAACAGGCTTGATTATTTCGCATGCACATGTCTCACCTAAAGGATTGCTGTTGGCAGGTAAGCTCGATGAAACTGAAAACAAACTCTGATTGCAGTGTGTATGTGTTTCCCTTTTTTCTGTACCTTATTGACATTGTATTGCACACACACACACACATAGTGTACGTTTTTTTTACAACCAACAAAGCATATAGTACCTACGACACACGAGCTGGTGAAAATGCTGGAAAAAAAAAAAAGAATTCCATTAGTCTACTTTGACGGTGAAAAACGAGAAATTTTCTTTTCTTCCGAGAGCAACAAAAAAACCTTTTTAAGCTCTCGGATAGGCCATGAGCGGGAAAAATTCAAAAAAAAGTCGTACTATCTCGACGCCCAATGAATGGGTCGACACTTTTCGGCGTAACGAATTTTTAATAGCGACAATCTAGATCAATAATGAACCGCTGCTTCGAAAGCCACTTCTGGACAATTTAATCGCAGTCGATTCTCATGAAGAGCCACGTAGTTTATATACACCTACGCACCGCGTGACTAAAAGAAAAAAATCGAAACAGTATCAAAATATAATCCGCCAGTGCCAAGTATCAGACCGCGCGACACAGATCGTCGTACTACTCGGTCCGATTTGTTTTTTTTTTTTTCGTTATCTATCTTAAAAAAACATGGAAGAAGAGGAAGTAGTATCGTGCACTCCCACAGAGAGTAAGTACGAACTCGCAACTATCACAATCGCGTTCTCGAGGTGTGAAATTTCACTACTTACACTATCAGCTATTCGATAACTCTCTTATCTGCACCATTAGATATCTGATATATATATATACATTTTCCGTCTTATTACCAACCTAGTAAAAGAGTAACGAGGATCGTGGTTTTTCACCAGAACCGTCGCTACTGCTCCATTCGCGAAGCAGACTTGTGATCACGAACACGCGCCGTTTACGAATGACATACCCGTTAAAAAAACAAAAAAAGTTTTCTCACTCAAAATGAACACCTACGTTAAACTGACATGTACACACATGCACACCATGGTGCATAAACAAAAGGAAGAAAAGGGAGGGGGGTAAAAAAACACAACCCACTTCGCTTGGACCTCGCAACCAAGGCCTCCCATGTACAAAGTCCAACTAATGTCAACTTACGTATCTTCCTTTGGTCGTCCGTGTGTTGTCGTTGTTGTGTTCGTTGGAGCTCGAAGCGCGCGCGCATGTGTGCGTCGTTAAAAGCGCACCGTCGACGGCGAGGCTAATGAGTTGGCGCTTAAAATCTAATTAAACGCGATTCTCGCCACGCACCTACGTACACCCGATGTATTCGTCTAATCTATGTGTACGCAGATAAGGATAACACGGCGTTGACGATAAGCGTGGTGGTGCCGATCGTCTTGATTCTGGCCTTGATCGGTATCGTGCTGTTCATAAGACGGCGCAGGAACCAAGGACGCAAAATGACCGAGACGCGGGCGACCGACGACCTCTCGTTGCCCGACAGCGTCATCGAGACCAGGTAACTTTTCTTTCTTTTACATTTGCCCCCTTACTTTATCGCGGGGCAAACAACAATTTTTCCACTTTATGTAATAAACAAAAGGGGAATTCAATCGCTACTTTGTTGGGACTCCCGGTGTTTTGAAATTTCAACGTTACTTCGGAGCTATTTAAAACTAATCGAGTTTTTTTTTTTTTTTTTTTTTTCGAAACTTGAATGGGCGATGCGTCATTTGAATAAAATGCTTTTTTATCAGTGGTTTCACAATTTTTGAAAAACGCCCAGGTGTCCTAAGCGATACGCGATGTTTCGAAAAAAAAAGTGGGTATATATCGCGGCTAGTATCCGTATACCGAGCGCACCGAGTTATTTCCACGTTTATTCGGGCGCATTATTGGATACGAGGAGCAAGAAAGCACGGCTCGTTGCTTTTCATTGAAAATTACACCGGCTAATGTTTTTCTCGTCCATCGCACCAATTACCATACACCGTGCGGTTAACCGAGAAACAGCCCGATCGTCGTGTACGCAATGGGAAATTGTATGACGTGCTGTACAACGCATACGTATATAATAGAATATACACTAGTAAAATAATACCTCTGTGAAGAAAAATAATTGACATTTTTCTTTTTTTTTTTTTTTTTTTTTTTTTTTTCTGTGTAATCTTTTAGTCGGCCGATCAGGGTGGAGAACTTTGCGGACCACTACCGGATCATGTCGGCGGACTCGGATTTCCGCTTCTCGGAGGAGTTCGAGGAGCTGAAGCACGTGGGTCGAGATCAGCCGTGCACGGCTGCCGATCTGCCCTGCAACAGGCCCAAGAATCGCTTCACCAACATCCTGCCCTACGATCACAGTAGGTTCAAGCTCCAACCTGTCGACGACGAGGAGGGCTCGGATTACATCAACGCCAATTACGTGCCGGTGAGTTTCCTCTTGTAGTATACGTACTGTGTGCATGACAATGCCTTTCTTTTTGTCTCTGCTGACGAACACAAGCTGTCAAACATATATCGTTCCATGGCTGTAGTAATTAATTCTTTTTTGGTTCTAAAAACAACAAATGTATGCCATCAGGGTCACAATTCGCCGAGAGAATTCATCGTCACGCAGGGTCCCTTGCACTCGACGAGGGACGACTTTTGGAGGATGGTTTGGGAGAGCAACAGCAGAGCTATCGTTATGCTCACGCGTTGCATTGAAAAGGGTCGGGAAAAGTGCGATCACTACTGGCCCACGGACACTCTCCCGGTTTATTACGGCGACATTTGCGTGACGATACTCAACGAGACGCATTACTCGGACTGGAGCATTACCGAATTTCTCCTTCGAAGGGTGAGTGCAGGGCCTTTTTTTTTTTTTTTTGTTGTCGCTCACTGTACCGTTCCTCGTCAATCCTGCCGTTGACATTTAATTGTGCACCATTTCCTTCAAAAGGGCGATTGCAAGCGAGGAATCCAGCACTTCCACTTCACAACCTGGCCGGATTTCGGTGTGCCATCACCGCCGCAGACTCTGGCGCGTTTCGTTCGCGCGTTCCGCGAGCGGGTCAAGCCGGACCAGCGACCCATCGTGGTGCACTGTAGCGCCGGAGTCGGCCGTAGCGGCACCTTCATCACCCTGGATCGTATACTCCAGCAGATTCTTGTGAGCGACTACGTCGACATATTCGGCATCGTGTGGGCCATGAGGAAGGAGCGCGTTTGGATGGTCCAGACCGAGCAGCAGTACATTTGTATTCATCAGTGTCTCCTGGCAGTGCTCGAGGGCCAGGACACCCAGAGCCCACCTCGAGAGATCCACGATAATCAGGGCTTTGAAGGTAGTGACAGTTTTTACGGACAGGATAAGGGTGGCGGGGCTATTGGGAATTTTTTTTTTCTTTTCTTTTCTTTTTTTTCATCAATTGCTTTTCAACGCTTTTAATTTTAAACGAATCATTAATTTTGGGTTTTTTTTGTATGGTTTAATACAAGAGTACTTTTAGAGTTCGATTGCTCAGTAACAGGCAGAGTAAAGGTCGTGTGATTAAGCGCGAGCTGAGATAACGGGAAAACAATCATGCTAAAAATTAACATTTTCTTACTGTTTGTTCATATAACGTACGGTTATTAATATGCTTACGTTTTATTTTAAAGAACAATTAAATTTTATGTTGCTGGTTAACACCTCATTATGTTTTATGTGCTTTTTTGTGTCTAAAATTAATTCATTAATGTTCCAGTGAATGATTTTGTTTATAATAAGATTATCCTTTAGTTATTTGACATTTTCTTGTGATTAAAATATTTGTAACAACTTCTATTGATGTGGGATAGAAACTAAAGTACCCATTAGATTATTATATTTACAAGTTTTTGAGTTGATTTGAAACGTATTATTACAACAATATTAGAAGAAAAAAAAAATTTAATTCGAAATATTGATTTTTTTTTTATATGCACAATGACAAATGTTTTCAATGATTTAATCTTTCAATTTAGGAAAGAATCAAAACTCAGTTGAAAGCACAAAGAGCCCAGTCGAGGCTGAAAACGAGAGTGAAAATGACCATGAAAATGTCAATGAAAATGAAAGCAAAAATGAAAACGAAAGTGATAACGAAAATGATAATGACGAAGTAGAAAATGAAAACGATGACGATGATGTAGATAATGAAAATGATGATGAGTTAAAAAATGAAAGTGAAAATGTCAATGAAAACAAACTCGAAAACGATAATCAAAATGAGAAGGAAAGGTGACATTCGAGCAGCGAATACTACTCCGACGGTAATTTAATAACAAAAAGTCAAACAGTTATTGTTCGTTGCTTGAACTTAATTTTTTACTTTTTAAAATATTTGCACGTTGCTCGTACGTTTTTTTTTTTTTTTCACTCTTTTGCAAATACATCGCAAACTGTTATAATCGTGGAATGCAGCATGAGATTTTGTATCGTCTGAATGACTTTTTGTTTTGCTTCGTTTTGCGCATACCTACATTGACGCAATAGTTTTTTTTATTTTTTATTATCTATTTATTTACAGCACTCATAAGCTAGATTGATTCGCAAATAATTATTGCAAATTTTATCCACCAAACATATTTTTATTTTTTATCTAGAACATTTTCCGTAGATTAAAACGTATGCATCTTCAACTTTTTATCATTTCACATTGATAGTACCTATTATTTCTCGGTAGTTTGTAGTGTTTATCAAGATATACTTTTACGATTTTCATACATTCAAAAAACAATTTGTAGATACTACTTATGATTTGATATTAAATAATACGTTAAGTATGGCTTGATGCATGCAGTATTATACTTTTCGTTTCTATGACGTATGTGTTTGTAATACTTTTACCAACAATTTTCCCAAAAACTTTGTGCCTAATTCTTTGAAAAAGCTACACTAGAAATATTCGTCAAGTTGGTTAATGTTCTAACTATATTCCAATACATATTACACACAGTACACGTTTGAAATTTGTCAATAGCATGCTTGTACACATAAAAAACGATGAAGCATTACTTTTTACTTCACGTTTAAAAAAGAAAAAAAAAAAAAAAAAAAAAAAAAAAAAAAAAAAAAAAAAAAANAAAAAAAAAAAAAACTGAGCCAAAAAAAAGCACCCAACTACTTATTTCATCATTTGTTAATTATTTTTATAAAAAGTCTCGGTGTTTTATACATATTGAAGTAGCGAGCGCCAATTGATAACAATGATAAACGAGCATGCAAAAATCGGCATTGGCCGACAAAAACCATGATGGTAATGTAAAACACGTACACGAATATCGAGAATATACATATACGAATCTCTTGGTCGGTCGATGAAACAATCGGCAAGCAGCCCGTGTAACCTGTCTCGAATGATTAAAATTACAGATGATGAAGGTATTGCGGAATCGGGAATGTGATGAGCGCGAAAGGTTGATAGCGAGCAGCCCGAGGGAGAACGACGACAGCACCGAGGACTCGAATCTTACGCGGAAGAGGCAGAGGCGATGCAACAACAGCGGCAGACCTCCTTTCGACCATCATGGCCGTAGCGGTAGTATCGGCGAGCTGCTGAGGTCGGCGAGCTCCCAGGACATTCCGTACGACTCGTCGCCGTTGATCGGCACTGGCCGCCGACGTTTGAGCCGGTGACGGTGCAAGACCGACGACGAGTTGGCAGCATTAGAAGCGGCAAGGATGGTTGCTCCAACGAGCAACGGCAGCATTGGTAGTCTCCGTCCATTGTCGGACGTTCGCGAGGACGTTCGGATATGAGCGGTCGTTCGAGCGTAGTCGAGGAGAGCAGCTGTGTCGATTGATGTACAGGAGAATTTTTTCGGTTTGGAGGACCTTTTTTTTTTTTTTTTTTGTTTGTTTAAGGACGTGTTTTGTGAATATTCATCTGGTTATATACAAGGGCTTTTCACTTTTACTGTTTTTCACTACGACGATTCGAAAAATAGTTCTCCGTGTGCGATCTCAAAAGAAGCTTCCGTCTATTAGAAGAATTACATAATTGAATATGTATGTATAATCGTGCGTGTGTCTGTGTGTACCGATGCAAAAGCCTCGACTACCTCGACGATTACGTTTATTTTTTGTAAATAATTAGTTACGTTATTGTATATGCATCGAGCGACGGTTTGTTCATTTATGAACATTAGTTAGTTAGTTTTGTGATACATGAAATAAATATACATTTAATTCTATTGCTGGTAGCTCGGTCAGTCGATCGGTCAATTATCCATTGCTCAATTCGTTTTGATGTATGAAAAAAAAAAAAAAAAAAACAGAAAAAAAAGCTTAAGCAGTTGAGTTGGTGGTTTTATTAATGTAGAGACTAATCCGATAGACAATGGTTGATTCACATAAATTTATGATTACGTCGCACACATATTCATCGTACAAAAGTTAATTGAGGTGACAATGAAGATTTGAACGTATCTATACAGGCTGACAAGTAATTTCTTTGCTTGTAGAAAGTATTTCGATGTGTCCTATTTTACGAGCCAATAATTAATCGCAATTGAAAAAAAAATGGTATCTAATACGCGTAAAAAAAAAAACATGTCTGCTTAGACATGGCAACTTACTATTCCAATACTCAATACTTTCCCTTTTTTAAACATAATAAAGAGACAAATCAATGAAGTTATAAAGCCAAAACATACGAAAATCAGTGGGAACAAGAAACTCGCATCTTCGTAGGAAAATACTCTCCCTTGTATTCCCCCAACCAAACTTGAGAGCCTTGTGAGATGAAGAAACGAGTTGCCATTCTTTTGAATGAACCGAATTTTCCGTTTTCCGGCAAAAGGGAGATAATTTTTATCAAAAACACTGCGTGTAATCCGAAGCGTGTAAGTTTCTCCCGGAAAAACATGTATTAAAATCGTTGATTCTAGTTTTGTCTGTAGTTGCACGATTTTTAATATATGGCTTATCGTATTTAGGAAATCAATTATCGATTCAAAGCAAAAAACATGAGCTTCGTAAAAACACGTGTACTGCTGAAAACGCTAATTACAGAATAAGGTGCCACAGTCCTCGTTGAACGTTGTATAACATTATTAATTCTGAATTACCGACAAAGTGGGGAGAAAAGTACATGTAGTCTTTGCGAATTATTGCTATCATTACTCTTTACTCTGAGACTAACCACTTGTATATGTATATAATACGTAACGTTTTTTTTTTTTTTTTTTTAATTTTTACATTTCTCTCTTCCGTTTTTACACTTGTCGGTTAATCCGTTTCCCCCTATTCCCTAGCGCGTAATTAGTACAAATAAGTTGTATGAATAATTAAGAAATCGGACGTTATACTTCCGCAAAGTATCGCTGTCGTTTTTTTCATTTTCACAAGAACAAGGAAATTGAAAACACACAGTTGCAAATGTCAAACACATTCTATCGAGAATTGTATTATTACTATTATTACGGTTGTTATTGTTTTTGCAGCATTTTATTACATTATATTCATTAATAACGTAATTATCGATTAAGTATTATCGAAAGAGAAGCGAATAAACAATATCATTGATATACAGAACGTACATATAATACGTCATTATTGCCATTTTTATCTCCACATACAAACGCTTGTCGATTATGTGTTATATAAATACTGTTTTCCTTAGGAGCGATAATTATTTTTTATCTTTTAAGCGCGCGAACGAGAAGAAAAAGAGAACATTGATATTTATACAGATGGACAGATAGCTTCGGGGAATTTTGCCGATTCCTGGTTGACACGAGAACTGAGAACTGTTTTTATCCATTTGAAATTCTATTTTTTCACTCTTACATTTTACATTTTAGTGGCGCAGGAAACAAGGAAACTGAACGAAATGTAGTCGCGTTTGTTGATCCACTGGGGGGTCGGGACCGGTGAGCTTACATTTATATACCTTCTGGCAGCTTCTTACTTTTACCACAAAGTATATAAATACACAGATGGGTGGTGATTATCTCATAAAAACTCACTCCTTTGTGTCCAGTTTCGATCCCGTTTTTTTTTTTAATCAATGTTGGACTAATTATTTTATTTTATTATTTTTTTTTAATGACGATTGATGTAATGACTTTTTTGGAGAATTGTACTTAAGGGAATGATACAAAAACAGTGTGCTTGTACGAGTTGAGAGCTGTAATTAATTGTGTATAAAATATTCTAAGTTCGCAGTTAAAGGAATAAGAAAGTTACATTGTCAAGTTATAGGCCTAAAACGTGTCTATTGCCTCGGAAAGTGTAAAAGTATATGTAAGAACAACAAAAAAATCATAGATTATTAAATTGTACATGTAAACGCGGAGCACAGATAATTCACAAATCATCGTCCATAGGTTGATGATGTATTCCATATTTAAGTATTCAAAGTTATGTATACTTTATAGATTCAACAGTCACGATAAATTAAAAAAAAAAAAAAAAATCAACAAATAAAAATCGTTAATATATACATACATAAACTTGAAAATTTTCGAGAGCAATCGTACAGCAAACTCGTCGTATCCAGTATGTGCTGAGCTGTATCGATTTTCTCTCACCTTTTGTTCTGTGATAATCGATGAAATTTAATTGCCTATCGATATCCCGTTGCAGATGTGTTATCACTAGCCCATAATCGTTTTTCTTACATACGCATTACTATTATTGCCTACTCCCTTCCATAGTAAAAGTTATAAAAACAAAACAATAATAGCGAGTTATTACTTACTGAAATACATGAACTATTATACTGTATACGTCGGCCTTTTTACGTCATCGAAAAACAAAATAGTATTTATACCGATGTACATCAAAAAACAATTTTTACTTATTTATATCACTTATTATATATATATAGATATTGTTGTAAAGCAGTTGCTGTTTGTACATTTGAAACGACGACAAAACCCTTGTTTTTTTTTCCTTTTTTTTTTCTACATTTGTAAAGATCATTACGTAACTTGTAAAACTTTTTGACGTCTTTTTTACAACTTTATTGATGGAGCGATGTATATCGTACGAGACGACGAAACTGACATTGTGTAAATTTTCATTTGAAACCCGAAAGTCGACGAACGCGCATAATAAACATGGTGTTCTCAAGAAATGTATACTCTCGATCTTTTATTCTCGCCCTCCTCCTCCAGATAGTAACAATTTTTCATGTAGGAAAAAAAAAAAAAAAAAAAAGTAAAATTACACTGATGTATTTAATAGTCGTACAAAGGCGAAGAAGATTTTTTTCGTTAGGACTGGTGAAGAACACCAGCGACGACCGGGCAGGCCGAAGTTTCGAGCTCCAAATCCGACAGGGCCGAGCTCGAGGCCGACTTTGGTACAGATTTTTTGGAAGAAACCTCCTCGGTCCCGATGCTCGTCCTCGACACGACCCCTGTTAATCACACCAATTACCGATCTCTACCAACGGTAAATTAAAACAAAAGACAAAAAAAAAAAAACTCGCCTCTCAGCTGTCCGATGATCCTCGAGAAAATACTTTTCGCGTGCTCGTCTGGCTTACCGGTCGCGTGATCGGCTTCGGCCGCCGATTTTCTTCTCGACGCCCCGCCCAGCTCTTTGGCGTCCGGGAGCCGCAGCATCCGCGTCAGCGAGTTGAACTTTTGCTTCCTCGTGAGTTGCTCTTCGCCACCGCTTACTGGCACTGCCTTACTCGCGTCCGGCTGTCGCAGATGGATGTTTCATTTTGAGCGCGATCGTGGGATACGATTGAAGAAAAAAAAAAAAAAAAAAAAAAAACAGCGTCTCATCTCCGAATTGCGTGTCCTGTACGAGATCGGAAATCGAAGATGGCAAGGGGTGTACCTTTTCGTCGCTCGACTTGGAATGTATTTTCAGGATCCTGCCCATTCGGTCCAAAGTGGCGCTCTTGAGACGGCGCGCGTCCCGCACCATCGACTCCGTCGTCCTCGACAGCGTGCCGCTCTTCTTGCCGCCTCCTACCCCCTGTCCTCCCGTAATCTCAATCTCCGCCTCCTCGTCGCTGCTCGCCGAGTCGTCCTCGTCCTCTTTTTTTTTCTTCCGCTCGATTTCCTCGATTTCGCTCTTCCTCTCCTCCTCCTTCTGCTCCGGTGCTACTGCATCTCTCTGCAGCTCCGGCCTGGGGATTTTTTTCTCTAAGGTACTTTTTTTTTTTTTACTGGATGCGCGTGCTATTGGCAAATCGTACGATTTTCCGCGTAATCGCACGCTCATTTACTTTCGGGGGGGTTTCATTTAGGGGAAACTGGAGCTTTTTCAATGGACCCCGTATACCAATCTGAGCTTTCGAGCTTTTTTGGCGCGGATACAGGATTTTCGGGCTTTTCTACGTTTATTCTTAAACACGGGTGCACAAATGCATACACGTACCCAAAGCTCAACGGGCTGTCAAACGTGTGACTTAACCTTTTGCCTTTTTTTTTTTTTTTTTTTTTTTTCCTTTCCATGCGAACGGGCAAACGATTGCTGTAATATTTACCACAGGTGTGGTGTGTTTTTAGCGAAACATTGCGAGGAAACGTCACATGTACAAGATTATTATTATTTTTTTTTTCTTTCTTTCTTACGTGCCGTACGAATCACTGATCATTCTGCCGTGTGAGTTATCTCTCCTCCTGGATCGCCGATTGGGAATTTGCAAATTTGGTGCGTTGGATTTCCTCCTCCTGTTTTGCTAAAGTATGGTCTTTTTCTTTTCTTATAATGTGCCTTTCAAACAGAAAACGTGACGGTTTATAGGCTCGAGCTCGTGTTGCCGGGCTCTCCTTTCACAAGATGTCCCGACGCTCGTTTGTTTACCGATTTCGTGGCAACTTTACTTTGGAATCCATGGACGGATTTGAATGTTGGAAGATGGCTTGGGTCGAGGTGAGGGTAAAAAAGAAAAGTAGACGTTTTGCAAAATAATCGTCGTTTTATTGAGTTTATAATTTCTCTCTCTTTTTTTTTTTTTTTTTTTTGGTTTGTTTATTTTATTTTCAACTGTCACAACAGCTTTATAAACGATTTTTCATACGTACGTAACAGATTTATTTTTTATTGCAGCACGCGTTTCGTCGAGGATTATTCTTCATGATATACATTGGTTTTTGATTATTTTGTTCATACGTAATATTATAACTTCTTGCATACGATTTATTTATTTATTTTTTAAATTTATTTCGCGTTACTTTTGTATTATAATTTTTGATGTATTTTATCTTCACCATACTCTCGAAGGTACAAAAAAATGATAGCAATAACAAAAGATTTTTGTCATGTGACTTTGTTCGTTGATGTGTTGGAAAAAAAAAGTCCGAAACGGTAAATCAATATTCTTACGAAACTGTGATTTTCTCGGTGGCTAAAAGTCACACAAGAACTCAGAAATACTTTTAGTTAAAATCAGTCTTTCTCGTAATAACCACGCATAGCGTTTTTTTTAAATTTCCCCCAATAGATGTAACAAATGATATAACAATGAAGATCCTGGCTACACGAGCTTAGTATATACTGCTGGTATAAAGTTTCTATTAGGCACCTAATGATGAAAAAAAAGAAAAAAAAATCATGCGTCCTAATAATACATGATATATATGTATGTATATATGTAATATTGTCCCTGCACACTTTGCAAACAATTAACAGAGTTATTTTTTTTTTCATCATCACTGAACAATAGTACAAATCGACACTCTGGCGTGCATCTGCACCAATCATCAATGGGACGCCGAGCCCATCGGGGGGTCCTGCCACTTGAATTCCTCCTGGTAGGTGACGTAGACCATCCAGTAGAGGACTATGAGAAGGGTGAACGAGGCCGGAAACACGACCCGGGCCGCCCTGTCGATGTGCGAGACGCTGTTTATGTACCTCTCGATCCTCTCGCCGTGCTTGCGACAGCCGTCCGCGGCCTCGCGCTGCCGACGTTTTCTGTACACGTGCCGGTACGAGTACAATTTACTTGTTTACTCGATTTTTCAAACTTTTCTTTTTTTTTTTATAATTAATTGATGATTCATTGTAAAAGCAGGTAGCGAAGAGTATGAAGAACCCTTTTGCAGACTTGGGCAATGATTTTTTTTCAATTTTATGGAAGATATAACTTTTTTTTTTTTTTATTTAATTACTAGTTGTAAGACAGTGCATCATAAAATTTTGCCCGGAGATTCGCAACAGTGTTCAAGTATTTTATCTCAATTTCTGCTTTAAAAGTAAACTGTAACATCTTGAATGTGTGTTTACTTGACTGACAGAGACAAACAGTTATTTCAATAAAAAAAGGACGTTTTACTAGGAAAAAAAAAAAAAAACAAAAAAAAAAATGTGATCGAGTCTGTAAATTACATACAACTGCCGGACGAATCATGAAAAACCCGAAAACATTTTCCAATTATTTTCGCTGCATCCGTAACGCGCCGGTGCATGGCGCGCTGATTGAAACCTTGCCTCGGCAGATCTCGTGATTATTCCAAAAGTTCGCGACGGAATTTTCGAATAGTTTGAGAAAACGTTGTGTTTCTTCTTGTTTTTTCACTGCATCGAGCGAAACTTCCGACACCTCATTTGCATTTAAATTGACAATCGTCAAGTCGTGCGTACAGTAAGTATCTTAAATACCGTGACTATAATATGTCGAGGGAGAAGAAAAAAAAAAGGTGCAAACCTGAAAGCCATGTCACCCACGAGGCAGTAAAAGAACTGCCGCCACTTGGGCAACCAGAGCTCGGTCTGCGTCTGTCTCTCCATCGTCGAGGGCTTGCTGCCCAACGCAATGGCCATCGAGCACCTGTTGTCCGGCAGGCTGTGCACTTGATCCTGCACCACAATATACCAGACGATTTAAAAATTATTCAGGGGACCAAGCGTAAAAAAGTGAACATTTAAATAGTTAACGGGATTCGCGTACGCGTGCATATTGCAGCGATGAAATGAAAAAAAAAAAAGAAAAAAAAAAGTAGGCTAACACGAATGAAAAGCAATTCTGCCATTAACAAAGTTTCCGGCGATTCAGCGAAATGTAGGGCTCGCGAGTCGCTTAATTAATTGAAAAAAAAGGACTCGTGGGATGAACGAAGAAGGGGGTGCGAACAATCCTTGGGCCCGCTAAAAAGTTCATCGCTTCACGGAGCAAAAAAAAAAAAAAAAAAAACAAAGAAACAAAAGCCCCCCGTGCGTGTTTATCAGATTCCGTCCCCCATCCGTCGGCGAGCGTTAATCTCGAGTGAAGTCACGCGAGTGCAAAAAACAACGACAGCACCAGAGGAAATCTCCCCCCTAGCATCATCTCTTTCCTATACTTTTATTTAGCAGCTCGCGCTCGGGGATTAATTACGCCCCTAGAGGGAGGCGGGAGATATCCCAGGCACACTTTGCTGCATATCAAGAGCGTGTTTGTGTCTCGGGATTAACGAAACGTGCGAACGATACGACCGATGGCTTGCCAGCTCGTCCCGGGGTTTCAAGTATACATACAGAGGTATAGTGGATAAGCTAACGAGTTTTTTCCCTACAACACCTCCCGCGCTCTCGTTGCGCCTCGTACCTTCCTACGTATTTCCGGGAATCGGGATAATGTGCGAGGGACGCGTCATTTTTTTCGGGAAGGCCTCGAGGGACCCCGATTTCTTCGCTCGATCGGGGGAATTTAATCAAACTTTTGCCCGCCGAGTGTCACACGCATCCATACAATGCGGAAAGTTTAATGCGCGGTACACGATATACCCGTCGGATCCGCGTCATTCGTGGGGATGCCATATCTGTGACTCTTGGGGGGGGGGGGGGGACAAAAAAATTATTGTTTGTCCAACAAAACAATGGGAAAACTTGATCCCTCGAAGCTCCCTTCGTTCAATCCCTTTAGGTTTGGAAGGGTATGCAGCCGGCCGGAAGGAGCGCGTGCCTCGCGGCAACCAGTGCAAAAGCAAGTCATCACGAGCAGTCGATCGTATAGGGACAAACCAAAGCGGTGGAAAAAAAAAAAAAATGATTAAAAATAAGACGAACAAACAATAAAAAGGACAATAGAAAAGCTCACGTTGTAGAGAGCGCAGAAAAGGGAAGAGCCGCGTCGCCTGGAGGTTGCTGTCGTCGTCGTGACGCCGCTGTTGTCCGGCGATTGTAGTAGCTGCTGTTGCTGGTGATGGCGATGGTGGTGGTGGTGGTGGTGCGAGCAGACAGAAGCCACGGGCCGGCCGAAGTACTCGTCCTTGTCCGAGTCGACGCCACCGCCACTCGAGCCGATGTCCTCCCACTCGGTGTCGTCCTCCTCCTCCTCCTCCTCCTCGTTTTCCATGAACTCCTCCTCGATCGGGAACTCGCCGCTACCCACCTGTCGACATACATATACATCCAAGCTTTTCTTTTCAGTGTTTTTTTTTTTTCGGTTTGGTAAATAAAGTCGTGGAACCGCAAGGTCTCCTTAATTAGCACGATGCAACTACATTATACCGCACACCCCCGTGTGTCGACTTTTGCCTTAGAGTTTATGCGCGGCTGCTTTATTTACTCGCGAAGAAAAAAAAAAATCCCTTTCGGTTAATCTTTGGTCGGATCGTCGTGTGCATCGAGTGAAAGGAGTATTCACGGGGATGGAAAGAAAAGCCGCCGCGCGTCCGAGAACTTTTTTTTCCCCTCCGCTCTTCGGACGAATAAAGAAGGAAAAGAGAGGCCTCGCTACTCGTGTTTGTTAAAAATAGGCGTGTATTTTTTTCGAAAAATGTTTTTTTCCCCTCTTCCCTTTGGACGAATCTAAAAAAGCCACTATCGGATTTAGAGAGCTTGCAAGCTCGGATTTTTTGAATAAATCTGTATCATCTCTATCTGTGTTTCGTTNTTTTTTTTTTTTTTTTTTTTTTTTTTTTTTTTTTTTTTTTTTTTTGTATGAACAAAACGTTTTTTAAAAATTGGATTCAAAGTTGTTTTTTTTCGCCTCTGGGTGCAATGAGGGAAAAAGGCCGTGAACTATTTTGTTAATTTTGTGGCCTATTCTCGATTCTTGAATGTGCCTATTGAGCGATTGCACATTCTCTTTTGGTTCTGTCCTTCACAGTCCATAGTAAATTACAACCGTTCAACTTTTTTTGTCATAATGTGTCAGAAGCTTTGAAGAAAAAAATTAAGGGAAAAAATTCCTCCTAGAGCGTATGTATAGAGTAAGCAAACAGACAAGTAAACGCACAAGGGTATGCTTTACAAAAGAGAATAATTGTTCCTTACCAAAATTTACTTAACTGAAATCTTATTCATTGTTAAATTGTATTTTAATTAGTTAAATTGAAAAAAAACAGCTATTCTCTTTTTGAATTATTGACGAGCTTCGACGAAGCGATAATTAAATGAAAGACGAGCATAGAGCGTTACCATCCCAGGCAAAAACGTGTAAGAGACCTTTTTGGCTTATTTGAATTTTTCATTTCTGTATTTGATAGAATTATTAAAAACTCGTTACCAAAGCCTAAAAGGCTTTTTCCCGTTTGCAAGTGCCACCAAGTTATGAAGAATATGTAGGTGTAGTTGTTAAAAAAAAAATAATTTCCTCCATATATATATACGTATAGAATACAACAGCCTCATCTTCTGTAACTATGTCTCTAATAAACATCCTGTTCAACTTTGATAAAAAAAAACACAATCTGGATATAGATGCCATTATCACCAATCAAATATCCCTATACGTTTTTTTTTTTTTTTTTTTCCATCCAATGCACACACGAATCATTATAAACGGTAGTTTACATAGCCTGCAACCAAAGACCATATAGTCGTTTGGTAAACTGCGCCTTCAAACTCCTCGAAAGGACTTAGGTATCTAACGAAACTTGAATCAAATTACAAGCCATCCTCTCGCGCTGTGCCGAAAGTTCCCAAAGAGCAAACTTTGCCGATTCGCCTCGCGATGCTTTGTCGGCTCAGCTTCAAACTGACCACATGCACCATCTTGTCTATATATATATATACTTACTCCTTGCACCAAAACCCAGTCATCGTGGTCCAACTTATTCACGATGCAGGTTACATGTATGTATACCTATCGTGCATCATTTCAGTCAATCTTGCAATATTAACCCAGTGACCCATACCTAAATACGCGTAAATTGTGATGGATACGCCTATAATGTGTAAAAATATATAAGTGCGATACGCACTGACCTGATTCACCAAAACACTCGCAGCTTCGTGAAGTAATGTGTTACCAAGTTTTTATTTTTGTTTTTTTCCTCCTCGCAGGTTATTTGGCGCGCATCATTGTCGTACACCCATCACAGGGTGCGGTTCAGTTGGCCAAGCGTACCTTATACACCTATACCTATACACTTAACGAGCGCAGTTACGTGGTATACACCCCAATGATTTTCGTAGCCCGAAATCGAGGGGAGTTTTTCATTGTCGTAACAAGGACGAGAAAGGATGTGCCCGTCTCTTTTTTTTTCTTTTTTTCTTCTTCCCCCCTCGAGTGGTCGGATTTACGCGGTGTTTTGGATTTCCCGGAAATTAATTGCTTTATTATTTCGCAAAGTGATTTATGCGGCTTGGGTTGCGCGAAGCGGTTTTTTTTTTTTTCGTCTACATCCAATGTAGAAACACGAGTATCCTGCGGGTTGTTGATTTTTGTTGGTTTTTCTTTTTTCCACTTTAAAAGCTTACCTTCGTGAAATAGTGCACACCAGCAAACTCCAAAAGGGTGGCGATGCAGTAGCCGAAGCTCATGAGAAGGAACCAGTCGAGGGCCGTGGCGTACTTGACTTTCGGCAGGTCCTTCCTCGAGTCCAAACTAATCGTGGACAGAGTCAGTACGGTAGTGATGCCTGAAAAGTAATAGACGCATGAGTGTTGCGACGCGCCGGAGACACGCTTATGGGTGTAGGGGTGCGAAAATTTGTGCATACCCAGGCCGACGCGGTCGCTCGTCGCCTCCCGGTGAATCCAAAAGGACACCCAGCTCAGCACCACGATAAGGACGCAGGGGACGTATACCTTTTTTTGCAGTGCGTGTGCAGAAATTGAAAACAAAAATAAATAAAACTCGAATCATTTTAACACTGTATTTTTGCAAAAAAAAAAAAAAAAAAAAAAGCAACGAGGACGACTCACTTGAATCAGGAAATACCCGGTGTGTCGTTGCAGATTAAAGGAGACCTGGAGCACCGAGAACTCACCGTCGCGTCTGACGAAAGTGAGATTGCGATACGGGTAGCCCATGAGATCGAACTGGGACAGGGCCTGTCGTGAATTCATTGTATACATGCATACATTTTTTATGAAAAAAAAAAAAAAAAATAACATTGATAATAATAATAAATAAATATCATTTACCATGCCTGGAACAAAGTTAACGCTCGAGTTGTCCTGCCACTCGTACACCAGCTGGCCGGATGTGTACGCGTCTGATGGGCGCAGCGATGAAAAGTTTCAAGTTTTATGTTGAAATCATACGTATATAGGTACATGGATATTTTGTCGTCGTGCAGTGCGTTAATTACGAACGAATATATGTACGTGTATTACTTTGCGTGGCATGTGGGCTCTGTTTGGATTTTTTTTTCACGCTCACGCAAAACATCTAGTTGTATTCGCATATTGGAACGTACAAGCGAAACTCCAACAGCCAAACTGATGTAGCGTACAACAATGCAACACTGCACACCTATTCACACACATAATACGTTCCATTGTTTGCTCGTCTATCTATGTATGAAAACAATATCAAAATTACGTTTACTCTAATTTAATGTGTACCTATGTACAGTTAAACTAAACGCTAAAAGCTACACGAGTGCCCATCACTTTGGGCAAATCTTCGTGCTTATGTTTACACAGACGTTGAACAACGAGAAAGCAATCAAAATAAAGCTCATATAATGCGCGCACGATGTTAAATCAAAACTTTGTGTAACAAAAGATCCGACGTGCATTTGGCATATGTAATAGCAGCTACGTTTCTTCTCCAGCTTGAAATTCAAATGCATGCATGGATTATGAGAAAAAAGTTTGAGTGAGATGCGCACACCTATGTACACTTGCATCGGGTAGTAGCATATACAGGAAAATAATAAGAGAGAGAGAGAGAGAGAAAGAGAGAGACTTTGTTGTATACATCATGTTTAAGAAGTTTGCACAGGTACACAAGGGGGAAGTGGTTGAAATTCATTCAGGTGGAAAGTTTGATGACACCCTCGTGGCTCTTTTGAAACGTACAACTAATACGCACGTTTACCTATTCATTTTTTATTTCACCTCGGGACCGAACTTTGGCAAGACCGAACGCAAACTCTCGAGAGAAAAATAGCCGATAATCCATAAAGTCGGGCGGGCTTAATCGACGATACACGCCGGGAAGAGAGATAACTTTTTTCATTACGCGCCTTCGAGTGCGGGCCTTAGCTCTATATGCAGGGGTGCACGAAGAATACGCGGATTTGGATCTGTAGCAACTTTTAATTAGTAGTCACCGGGTGGAAGTCGACCCCCAACCCCCACCCTCAGTCCCCGAACCCCTGGTCATTGTAACAGTCTCCCTTTTTCTTTGGAACGAGGCACGAGCTCCCCTGATTGTGTACATGTATACGATAAAGGGGGAGGGAAGGAAAAGAGAGCGCGACCAAGATGAAAAACAGTGGCGAGGATTTAAGTTTTCGCTGGTTGTTCCAGAAACAATTAGTTCCTCCCAATTACCGAAACGAGAGCGGGAGTCAACTTTTTTTTTTTTTTTTTTTTCTTTCTTTACTCGAAAGAATCGTCCAAGGAGTGGAAATTGTCCGCTAAACGACACGTGTACGTGTGTCGTGTTGCACCATAGTGACCGGCGCGTATAGAAACACAACAATCCTCGAGGAGAGAAAAGAAAAAAAGAAAAAGTTATTTATAGGGGAACGCGGAGTCGTTAGCGAGCCACTTAATTTTTCGAGACACGTATATGTGCATATACACAGGACCGTCGTCGCGCTCCCGTTGCTTCAAGTTTTCTCTCTCTCTCTCTCGCTTTTCTCAAAACAATTTCATATAGTGCGGAGACTCACAGCTTCCGAGAATCAGGGGACAAGATTGCCGGTCCATCGGGAAATTCCTCAGGTCCATCGTGCACTTCGCCTTGATGGTCAGTCTGCGTGTTCATCGAGACGTTCTCTCTTGAAAAATGGGACTCAGGCATTGCCAGCACACGAACGTGTACGCGTGACACGGGACTTTTTCTCTCTTTCTTTCTTTTATTTTTTTCTTTTTTTCTTTGTTTTTTTTTTTTTTTTTTTTTTTTTTTTTTTTTTTTTTTTTTTTTTTNTTGTTTTTTCTTTTTTTTTTTTTCTCTTTCTTTCATTTAACGAGGACGAAAAGTAGGTACACGCAGTTGGTTGGGAGGAAAGGAAACAATAACAAGGCTGGTAAAAGGAGTCGTGGGAGATGTACTACAAATATATGCTCTTATTAATTGTCTTTAAAGTTAAGATGAAATTTGTTCGATTGGATGGAAATCAAATGGAGGATACGTTTTTTCTTTCCGTTTCCATTGGTTCGTTAAAACAGTTTTTGAATAGAAAAGAATCTTGAATTTATTTTCAGATAATTGCTTGGAGACAAAATTAGAACACCTTTAAATTTAGTGAAATTTCAGTACCTCCTTTTAATATTAAATTTAATTGCACGTAGTGCTGATGCAATGTCTATGAAATTTTTTTATGCATTTCTCTTCTTCCATTGAAATAAATTCTGTATGAAAGCAGATCCCTTTTTTTTGGTTACACACGAGAAAATAAAGACGGAAGGGGAGGCATCGGGTTTTCTCGCGGTATATTCTTCTTTACTATTTATTACTTATTCAGGAACGTGTCGCTATTTTCCGAGATTTTGGAAAAATCGTGAAAATACATCGTGCAAAGTATATTATTCCCCGCAGCCATAGAAAGTGCACTTTCCGGGCGAAGTAAAATAAGATTAGTCGACCAAAAGTGCATCTCGTTTTTTCGCTCACGTGTAACACCTTTTTTACTCTTTCGGTGATAAAATTTTAGTCGAAATGTATTTCAAAAAATACCGAGACGGAAGCAAAGGAAGAAAAAAAAAAATAACATGTATAGTTACACAGCTGCACGGTAAAAGTATGTTGGAAGGGATGACCTTTTCTAAGCTGAAAGTTAAAATAGGGGGATGCGAGGGAAAAAAAACCAAAAAAAAAACCACAAACCTCATAGAGTAGAGGATGTCGCCTTCCTGAGTGATGCGCAGCAATTTGTTGGGCACGGTAATGGTGTGGACGTAGCTATGCTTGCCGTTGTAAAAGTAAGTGTCGGGCCGCCAGATCCTCTCGAGCATCTTGATGCTCAGGCTGAGCGACTTTATCGGACCCAGGAAGCTGAGACGCGAGTCGCGCCACGACTGACGGAAGTAGCAGTCCATCGAGTAGTCCTGTGAATGGATTTTTTTTTTTTTTTTTTTTTTTTCAATCTCTTTATCGTACTCATACGCGAAGCTTCGAATGTAAGTGCAATGACAAAACATGTACTCCTTCGAGATAAAATTGAACAAAATGGCTCATCATCCGAAACATGAAATATTAAAAGTGAATGTGTATATTATATTACATACGTCCCATAGCTTGACGCGATCAAACTATACGTACAACGCAGTGCAGTGTCAACTTCATTAACACAAATGCGGGGCTGAAAAATGTATAGCGAGACTACGAGAGTCCGTGCGCCCCCCTTTGTCCCGTTTCCGTTTTCGAAATTAATCTCAAAAAACCAAACACGCCCCCCCCCCCCTAATTAAAATTCATTCGAAAACGATCCAGCCTTCATCCCATGAAAAATCTCTTTAGCACCCAATTAACGTCACCTCGATCCGAAAAAAAGGGGGAAGAAAAAAAAATCCACCCTCGGTCAACTATTTAATCGACGCCGATATCAATCGTTTGGAAGATACCGGGGCACACACACAAGTGCCCCAGGGGTAGAGGTGTCCCGGTGCATTTTTCGCGTCCAAGTATTTCGACAGCGCGGCGGTGGCCCGAGCCGAGCATTAATCTGCAAGCCGCAAGCATCCCTCCCTACCTCTCTGCAACCCCCCACTGACGTAACCCACTGCTCGAGGGTATACCCGCGACAGATCCCTCGCGACCTTACACCAACTCCTCTTCACGTCCATGTATATTAAATACACTCTGCGTGGGTGTGTGTGGCTCGTACAGCGTTGACTAGTTGACAGCCAGCCAGCCATGCCTCGTCGGACGCGTACTTATATATGTACGGAATTGTTCAACTTGACGAGTCTATCTTGATTTTCGGGCAATTAATGCCGAGCTGCTTATTACTTATACATAATCTTATGACTATTTGAAGCAAGAAAATCAACTAGATTCTCTCGCTGTTTATATTTCGTTTGGCAAGTTGTGGAAGTGTATTTTACGTGTTTAGGTACTGGTGGTGGTACAATACAATATTATACATAGATGTACATATGTATGGGAATCACTAACCATGTCGAGCTCCGAGATGGGTCCCATGCTGCGTATGTAAATGTTTGTCTTGACTACTGTTGGCACTCCTGCGAATTAAACGCAATTCAATGGTTATTGCAGTAGCTGTATAGCAAAAAAAAAAAAAAAAAAAAATGATAATTATATTAACATCTTAGTAGCCCTAAAAAAAATCGTGTAGGTACGTATATAATCTGTCAATTGGATATGTCAAATGGCACATACACGCGGGAAAAATATACCCACAAACAATGAAATTCATCCCCGCAGTGAGAGCATACACACGTCAAAACTCTCCTCGGTCATTCGTGTTTTCAACGCGACGACGAACAAAAAGAAAAAAAGTAAAAAAAAAAAAAAAAACAGATGCACCGAACGTGACTCACAAAAGGTATACATATACGGACCGGGCCCGCTTGTGTGTGTGTGTGTTTTTTTTGTTTTTTTTTTATTTTTTATTTTTTCGCAGTAAAGGCACCCGAGGCGGGTCGCAGAGACCGATGTCGGAAAAGCCGATAGATGGACCAGGTACGTATACGCGCGGTGTATATAAAAGAGAGATCGCGTAATGGAATTTTCGGAGGGGCTGGCCGACGTCCAACGTTCCGCGGCGTACCCGCGCCTAATCTCCGTATTGAGCGCACATGTGTGTACACGTGTGTAGGAGGCATGTCGGCGGATCGCTATTCAGCGCCGATTATATCGCGACGAAGTGACGGATGCTACCCCGAGAGTACACCCGTTGATGCTTGTCGGTGGACTTTTTTTTTTTTTTTTTTTTTTTTTTTTTTTTTTTTTTTTTTTTTTCTTTTTCTTTATTTTCAGTTGCCCCCTGAGATTTTTCGTTTCACTAAACAATCTAGCTTCAATGGAATTTATCTTGCTTCCCTTATTAGCCGCGGCTATACTATCGACGGCATAGCCAAGGGAACAAAAGGCCAATCGACAATGGCAAACGAAGGAGCGGAATAATAAATCGTTAGTTTTGTATTTACCACGTGCAGGTATTGTATAAGCGCGATCTCGAGCTTTTGCAAATAAACGAGGAAAGACAATAACGACGAACGTCACGAGCGCACTTTGCTTTTTGGTCTCCATACGTATAGCCGTTTTTCTTGTCGGCACCAACTTTTTCATTTGGCCGGAAAGCAGAAAAAAAAAAACCAAACAAACAAACAAACAAAAAAAAAAAACAGTAGAAAGAGAGAGGGGTAGTAAAGTTTTTCGGTGGGTACACCTTTTTTTTTCTCTCCGTTTGCCATGCAGTTGTGGAAATGGTCAAAGTTGCCGGCTATGGCTCTCTGTCTCTACTGTCCGATGCCCGAGTGCTCTAGTTGTTGGGTTTTCGAGATTTTTCGGGGATGTAAAATTAGCTCTCTTTGTTAACTATTGTTGTTCTTGTTTAATTTACCGTGCATCACTCGCCCATTTTGTATGGAGACCCGAAAAAACAGTTTGCTCGTTACCTGTTAATTAAGCTACCGTTTTCGCGATAAACATTGACCTGCAATTGATCAATCGGAAAACATACCACATTAATTGATTCAAAACATCGATGATCCGGCTCTTTTTTGGATGTCGCCTTCCTGAGTGATGCGCAGCAATTTGTTGGGCACGGTAATGGTGTGGACGATTCATTGTATACATGCATACATTTTTTATGAAAAAAAAAAAAAAAAATAACATTGATAATAATAATAAATAAATATCATTTACCATGCCTGGAACAAAGTTAACGCTCGAGTTGTCCTGCCACTCGTACACCAGCTGGCCGGATGTGTACGCGTCTGATGGGCGCAGCGATGAAAAGTTTCAAGTTTNAAAAAAAAAAAAAAAAAAAAGGTGCGATGTTCGATAATTTACTTTGATACGGTATGCATTGAAATTGATTGAATCAATTACGTGCATAGGAAAGAAATTTGCATCAAGAGGCCGGAGCAATTATCGAGCCGCGCCCTCATCCGGAAAAGTATAATAAAAGCCGCTACCGATCGTTTGCCGCTCGATGAACTTGATCGGTTTTCAATGAAAAAACAATTATCGCCACGTTGAAAAAAAAAAAGCAGGGACTTTGATATCAAGGGTACATCGTACATCAATTATCGGTAATCATTCGAGTGTCTACCGTATCGTCGAAACATGGCCATCAAGTTGTACGGTTTATCATTTCGTGATGGAAAAAACACTGTAGCTGTAAGAGTATTTTCTTTTTTTTTTGTTTTTTTTTTTCATCTCCACGAGAGTCACCGACACGCGACGCTCCGATACACCTGCTATTGGCCAACTTCTCGAGCCCCCCCATTGTCATCGTACGTATAGGTATCTCAAAGCTAAGAGCTCGGTAAAAGAGGCGGGGGAAAAAAAAAAACTTTTGGTTTTATCGGGAAAAACTTTTTGCTCGACGGAATAGCGGCCCATACGAGCTGTAAATAGATAAGAAGCCCCTCACCCTGTCCGTGAGTGGGCAGTTGGCTGTTCTCGTAGTTCATCAGCAGGTTCTCCAGTACCATGGTTATGTTGCGCAACACCACGTCGTTCAAGCCCGCGCCTCGTACCGCCCGACCGATCGTGGCGGCCGCCGTCACGTTGAGCAGGCCCATCGAGCTGCCGGTCCGGTTTCTACCGCCAAGGCTGCCGCTTGCCCACAATACGGCTGCCAGTCTGTAAATTTCGGGATGTATAGGAGCAATAAATTCTGAAAGTGCAAAAAATAAAATAAAAATAAAAAAAGTTAAGCCACCCCACTCCTATTTTTTTTTTTTTAGATCGGGAGTGAAGCGTATTTCGTGGCTGTTTGTTTTACAGTGCAGCTGTGGAATGTACGAAGGCAGAGTTGAATGGGTGCTGGAGAGAGAAAAAAAAATGAAGTTTCGATACGCTCCGATAGTTACACGCCAGTCAAATCGTATTCCGGGCGAGTATATATGGAGTTATAAGTACAATTTTCCTTTGTTTTGGGGTCAATGTTTTCCCAACGCATCATATTCGATATCCCAGAGAAAGACCTCATTTCGTCCCGAACCCTCTTTACACTCCGATGTTTGCGAGGCAAAAAAAAAAGTTGACTCCTCAAAGCTGGGCCAACGGGGAAAAAATATTTTTTAGCATCGGAGCCTTGGGAACGAGGCAGAGCAAAGGGATGCATAGGAAATCGGCGGTGCAGGGGGGGGGGGAGGAAAGAAAGTAGGATTTCAAAAGCCAACGCGATTTTTCGTGCTGGCTGATCCCAGGGAGTAAACTACATTATATAGTGTGCCTTCGATGTTAACTCGTTGGAATCCGTGGATGAGTACACTCGCTCGAACGTTATAGATGTGGTGCTTGCACGCCCATCGAGAGATCGATTGTGGTGTATCGGCGGTTGATGCTGTACAGAGAAGAAAAAAGTCACACCTAATTCTGATGGTATGAAGCATCATTCGGATGTTATGTACAATGCAAACAGTTAGCCGTCGTGCGAGGATGTACATACAAAGGATTTGAATTAACGTGTTACCCGTGGCGGGAGGACTGTAAACTTTGGAGTGGAGGTAACGCGTGGCCATGAGTGAGAGAGCCAAAAGAGAGTAGTGTACAGGTATGAGGATCCAACGAGAGTTATGTAGGAGCTATGCGCAAAATACCTACCAGATGCGCGCATGCAGTGTAGGCACAAGGAACGCGGCAGTGCCGCTGCTTTGCATGTCATAGCTCTAGTTACAAAGATACTGCACGAAGGCACGTGTGCCCTGTTGTGTGGAATTTTTTTTTGTACTTATCAACAACTCCTCAATGCCATGTATATGTCGTGTGTGTTAAGTATAAATACCTTTGAATAGAGAAATAACTATACACTGAAATACAAAAAAAANCGTCGCGTCTGACGAAAGTGAGATTGCGATACGGGTAGCCCATGAGATCGAACTGGGACAGGGCCTGTCGTGAATTCATTGTATACATGCATACATTTTTTATGAAAAAAAAAAAAAAAGAAAATTTGTAGTGCCCCAAAAAAAAAAAAAAAAAAAACACAAAAAAAAAAAAAAAAAAAAAAAAAAAAAAACGACCAATCGCATATACAACTGTAAGCTAGAATAGCCACGACAAAAGTAGTCGTGAGGGTGAGAAGCGCAAGTGAGGAACACAATTCCAAGACCTGAATTGTATTGGGGTATCGGCAGGGCGCAACCCTTGTTTTTCCATATACAAACTTGTTGTACTCATTGTTTCATTTACTGGCAACTTGGATGTTCTTTCATTTATTGTCAGGTCAAGAAGAGTCAACGATCCCGATGATAAAAGTTATGACTCGACATGCCCATTATTATGCCATTAACATATCTTGCGTATCGCGTGGAAAACACGAAAACAAAAATTGTTGTACCAAATTGTTGAGGCAGTTACTTTGGTACAGTTAACGACCAATTTTTTCGTTTCAAGATCCTTTTGCTTCGAGAAGAAGTATACGTACTATCAAGATTTAGAAGGCTGTATATAAAGTATACATTGTCTTCGATCCATAGGGTAAATATTCCCATAATGTCATAATCTCGAGTATTGCGACAAAAGTAAATTTTCTAGTGAATTTTCAAGTTAATTTCAGGATTTTTTGGGACGAAGGTGGACGACGTCAATTCTTCGAAAAAAAAGTTAGTAACTTGAGGACGTTCAATTTAATTTTTCCTTGGACGCAGCACCTCGTAAAGTAAACAAATTGTGCACTACACGAAGTAACTGGTGGTCATGGTTTTCCTTGTAGCGCCAAACTCAACCATCCCGTACTCAATAGCCAAACTCGAAGATGTGCGGTATTTATTTCAACGGGTGACATATACGTTCGAGCAAACAAAATAAGTGTACATTCAGCAGGATAAACGATAAACTTGGTCAACAATTGCGTCAAATTTGTAAAAATTTACGCAAAATGGTAAAAAAAACCAAGTTATAAAACCGACGAAAGCCATGAGAGTAAGGTAGCGGGAAATAAAAAAAAAAAAAAAGATCAAAGAGTGCGGTTGCACACATACAGCTGTGATTTTTTTTCTCTGACAGCCATCATCCCACTGCATAAACACAGGTGGCAAAAATTAATACTGGAAACTGCTCGTTGGGGCATAAGTTTGCATTTTGACTCGTACTCGCGGAAGAAGCGCCTCGCTGACGCACTCGCGTTTTAGTGTGAGTGGGAGGGAGGCGCTGGTCGTACCACTACGGGGGGTGAGGATTAAATTTCAATCGGTGGCTGTCTGTGTGTACAAGGGATAGATTCACGAACATCCGTATGAGGCTTTAGGAGGAAGAGGGAGGATCTCGTTATGGGTGCAAGCTATCACTTTTTTTTTTTTTTTTTTTTTTTATCTGGCGTTTTTTTCTTTTTGTAGTGGACGAATGGACGCCCTGGTTAATGGGCAAGCAGTCGAATTTAAAAATTATAGCTCACACCGCTCTCACTGGGGTTTTTTTAAAGATAGAACTCCTTTTTTGGTTTTGCTTTCCCAAGCGTACCATCGGAAAAGCTGCACTGCATTGGTTTATTTTTTTATTCTTATTTGTTTTAGCTTTTCGCGATTTTGGATCGTGATTTTTTTTTTTGGGGGGGGGGGGGGAAACAATGGTGCTGTGATGTTATTTCATGAAAATCGTATGTATGCTGTAATGCTACCAACGTTTGTCATGTACTGATAATTTACTAAAAAAGTGAAATCATTACCACTAATTCTTCGGAAATTTCAATTCATCTTACAATAATTTAATGAAAAATAATGAACTGCAGTTATTCGACAAGAGGTGCTTTGTGACCCGACAAATCCAATTCATGTAAATCGTCGTGTACGTTTAATCGAATTTTGATTGCTTTTACGATTGTCGAGAGTACCGAGATACGTGCGCAGAGGGGGAGTCATAAAGCTCTTTATCATGAATCAATTAGTGTCCCAGTCACCAGAATTCCATTATAGTATCGAATTACGGTGAACATCGGTACGTCTCTGACTCGATGTACAGCGACGTAGTTCAATTTGAACTTTTTTTTTCTTTTTTTTTTCCTCTCCATTACTGGAATTCATGTAAAAAGAGAATAAATTAATGTCGACCAAAGACAATTTCCTCGTGATGCGATTCGTTCAAGATTCATTGATTGCGAGACCAATTATTAAGTGAACAGTAGTTTTGTGGTTTGTGATAACAATTGATGTATGTACGTCAATGAATTTTGTGCGACGAATAAATATAATCACGGGCTGAATATGTACGCATGACCTCAAGTAAACGTAAAATACGAGCGAATGCGTGATTTTACCAATTTGATATTCATGCGATTTATACAAGAATCGATAAGAAAATATTCTAGATAAAGGGTATGTACTAAGCTGAAACAATTTTCACCCTTAGACTCTTTCAGAACAATAATAGTATAAAATAATAACTTTTATGATTTATATGATCATCGGTAATTATTTTAGGGCAGTTATCATTAAAATAGAAAAAAAAAAAAAAAATGGCCCTGCCATGAAATTTGTGAAAGAGCTTAGCCAGAGTTTTGACCAACTCTTGTTAGGACAACTAGAAGGGGTGCTTTGACCACAAGTTTCAATAGAGACTCAAATCAAATATCTTTTGTTTCCATGAGCACCTTCCACTCCAGAGACTCCATACACCACCAACATAAACCAAATTAATCGTTACTGCAGTTTAGCACGATTAAATTGGAGTGAAAGTTATTTGACGAACACAAGTGATTTTTGTTTCGTCGAAAGCAATTGTGTGTCGTGAAAAATATTACCCCGCGTTAACCAATTATCCAATTATCGGTGTACGTACAGGCGTACCAGCTGCAGTCCTTAATGAACAAACAATGGGCGTACACATTCGAGCGAAAGTTAACAGCAGGGCGCTGGGCGACTTGCCAAAGGAAACAAAATTGTTTCGTCCCCTGTAACTTGGTTTTGCTAGTTCGCTCGAGAGCAAAGGAAATATGAGTGGATTTTCGTAACGACTTTACCGATTTTTTTTTCCAAGAATTATTTATCGAAACCATCTGACATCTATCGAGAAAGTATACATCAGCTGACGCCGAACAACTCGAAGATCGGGGTTCAAAAAAGCGATAAAACAAAAATTGTTCTACGAGCTTACGCGGATGGATAAATTAGCAGAGGAAAAAGCTCGGCCATTATCAGGTGGTCGAGGGATCAGCAACACCTTTAAATTAACCCCATTATGCGCGATGTTTACTTATTTACGTGGGAAGCTTTAATTTGCACCAAGAGGGAAAATAACGTTTCCACCAGACGGCAATGAGCTTGCAGTCGTTTAAAATTATATCCTTACGTTAAAAAAATTTGGAAAAAGTTATTAGCAATCCGATTTCGATCTCGTCAAGTGGGCCATTTTCTCATTAAAAAAGTTGAAGCACAAACTTTGTGTCAACTCGAACGAATGGATTATTTTTTGCTCAATCAAAGTCTGCTATGTATAGCTCCTAAGGGTTAAAGTGTAATAGATTTGTCATGTTCAAATATAGCTCTTTAAATTTCGAGAAATCGACGAGTAGTGCGTGGATTCGTAATTTAGCTAAAGTACGAAAAATAAAAGTTTTCGATCGAACCGCGTTTTTATATGTAAATACAGTGCAAACACTCCTTTCGAACGATAAAAAAATATAAAACGAGCTCCGTGGATTTCGAGAGTCACCGATAAATCAATTAACATTTACCTCACGCTCATGAGTCACTTACATTTTTTCAGCAGTCCTTTCTCGACAAACCTGATTTTTCACGCTTCGTTAGTCACAGGATTTTTGCTCGTTTCGTTTTCCAGTTTTGTGCCGTTTGAAATGTTTTAACCTGGTTTTGCACTCACTTTTCGCTCATTTTGAGGAAAATGCGCCGCTTTTTTTCCCATCGTGATTTCGAAAGCAAAATGCTCCTATAGGTGTCAAAAAGAGATTGACGTTAAGCGAAATTTCGACCTTCTTTATTATACTGCAATTACAACCGCACCAGGACCAAATTGTGCTCAACGGGTCGTTTGCGCACCAGAAAAGAACATCGCGTAATTCGGGGTTTAAATCAACGCTTACCATTCGATGGCAGAAAAAATCTTTATCACCCCGCACACAACGCGATTATTCGAGCATTCTGAATAATTCGTACCCACAACGCGCCAGCCCGACTGGAAATATTCTACACGCGCAGCGATCGGTTAGTTCGATTGGGGGTTTTTTTTTGTCCCAGAAAAGTTGACCGTGCGTCAGTTGGCACAATAATGCGTGTTTTTTTTTTTTTTTTTTCGATTTTCTATGGCACATTGTTCTCGATCGCATTATCAAACGCAAGTTTGTGTCTCCTGCGTCCTTTACAATGTAACGTCGCTACTACACGTGGAGCACAATGTACCTTGAGCAATTTTAGAAGATATACGTATACAGAGCGTGAAAAGCTTTAGAGTGACCCCGAAAAGTCGTGTTACCTGATTTTTCAGTGAATGGCCATTTTTTTGCCATTTTGAGCTACGCCCACTGGTAGAGACAAATATCGAGTAGTTTGAGGTTTTTAACGAGTGGGAACTATCATGTAGGTATGGACTTGAGTAGAAAACAGACAGAAATATATGTGGCGTGAAAAATTCGGGGATAGACTCCGCCGATTGAAAATCTTCTGGAGCCACGACATGAAGGTGGTTCAATGTAATTAAAAAATATCAAGAGAAAATTTTTAAATATGTGTTGTCAGCTAATTAAGATCGTAGGATAGTAAAGATATTTTGATAGAATACGCATGTATATAATTTATTCACCGACTGCTATTGAAAAATGTGAAAATCAAAGTAGGAAGGTAATATGCAATTTTTAAATTACATAAATATTTCGTTTTAAATCACTTAAGTTGTAGAGTTCAGTTTTATAAATTATTAACCGCAAAATTTCGATTCCTTTAGAAAGATTTATTATTTTTTAATTATTTATTAATCATAGTACGTTAACCACATGCACTTACATATAACTTTATTTTTACAGTATCATATTATTCAACACAATAACATAAGATAATATAATATAGGTCGTTCCACTTTTTGCAATGTCATCGTAGATACAATCCATCGCGGTAGTTGCAACCATCATATGTTTTTTGTATCTCGATAGTGTTTGCTAAACAGTTTAAAAGATCAGACAATGTTATTCAATTGTAAAGTGCGTATATCTGCCTTGTGAGGTAGCTCATCGATTATACTCAACTCCAGTCCACGCACAAGTATAGCTTTGTTAAAGCTTCTCGCTCTGCTTACCATCGAAACGATACTTGTGGCATATGTACTTGCGTGATACTTTACTTTGCTATGCAAAATTGATTTTTTCTGAGTAATAAGAGAAAATGAAAAAATAAAAAGAAAACAGAAACTCCTTGCACGAATGTTGCTTGATCAAGCAGCTGGATCACCTCCCCACGCAACTCACGGCTCCTAAAACCGAGATGGAACCTAAAGCTCATGCACCGGCAATTAAAACCTACTGCATTCAATATAAGTATATATACATGTACGTACTGCAAACGTGACGCGAGTGCACAAGAGACCACCACCGCTGATCACGCATTTCTCTCTCTTTCTCTATTTTTGCTTCTTCCAATATGGGACACTGCGTAGTCGTTGCGGTGCATCGTGCAGTGAGTGATCCGAGGAAAAGCAGCAATGCCACTTGGAAAAACTACCGTACACGCCAATACGTGATACCTCCGATCCTTACCAACTCGGTAAAGTAGTGCTACTGGGTCTATCATTAATTATATGAGGCCATGCAAATTATTTGCTCATAAACACGTCAAGTTAAATCCGTCGTGCAATAAACCATTTTTATTTCTAAATAAAAATAATAAAATTTGTTCTCTAAAGCTCGTAAAAGTCGGTTATTTAAAATATTATTGAAAAAAAAAATCATATGAATAACATAAAAGTCGGAGAGACGGTAAAACGGTGACAAGATGAACGGGGTCGTAAGAGGGAGCGGCAAAGCACACCCTGTGCCTATACAACATATATATATTCCAATAAACGTAGCAAGGTGGTGGTTGGACCGTATAAAAATGTGTAATACAAACATATATAGGTGACTCGTCTCGGAGAGCTGAAGTATCGATTTGCTCTCTCCCCTCGGCTGGATTAACAATACAAGATACGAATACATTTGTAAACATCTGGCGCCCGAAAGTGTATGTACAATGAAAACCTAATAAAAACCAAGTGCATCATTGCAACATGAAATTTTTATCCGATATCGAGCCTACGATTGTTGGAGTCTGTAAACGATTTTTTTTTTTTTTTTTTTTTTAATGCAATCAAAATAAATGTACTTAACGAAATGAAAGTCAACCTCAATAGTGACGAGCTGATATATACGTTGTTTAAAAAGTACAATGGCATGTTTTTTCAAAAAAAGTAAAAATTCTAAATATAATACGATTTACAAACAACTTGATGAAAACGTAATCTTTTTTTATTTTTTTATTTTAAAGTACAATGACCAACTATCGATGAAGTAATCAATCGATGAAGTAATTTAATTCTCGAGCTTTTTTTCCCGGAGTAAAAGTATCACCCATCACCCAAAGTATAGAGGTGTCTGTTGGAAGATTTCCGCCTGCCTACAGTGTTGAATTAAAAAAAAAAAATACATAAACTTAATGGTCACAATTCCAAAATGATGGGTATTGATAATAGATTGAACGTATATTCACATGTACAACCTTTTTGAAAACTTTTGGACCTTTATTTTATAAGCATGCCATTTGTGGCAAATCGTGCCTGGAATAAAGCGATCCAAGAATAAGGACCATCAGTTCCTAAGCTGTGCACAAGAACGTTTTAAGAGCCCGATTATTTATAGTGCTCCTCCGTGAATAAGAAACAAGACGTGTAATCGCGTTGCGGGGACAGACCGAATAAAAAAAAGAGGTACGAAAATTTCGAGCAACCAGACGTGCATTTAGCAACAGAGAGTGAGAGACAATTCGTGCCCTAATTACGAGATCGTTGAAACAGAGCCATATAACGGCCAACGAGTATACAACAAGTTTGTATATAAAAATCCCCCGATACGATCATTTGGGGAGGACCGAAAAGTACGACTCGTCTCTTCCACCCCACACGAGTGAAGCTAGTCTCTTTAGAACGGACCGCTGCATCAGCCCGACTCAACGAGGGTTGCGCCCATGCCGATACCTCCACTTATATCCGTGGATTCCCGTCGAACCACTCAACTTCACTTTTGCGCTTTTCGCGAAAAACGACTTATAGCGAGGAAAGGGACGAAAAAAAGCCATCCGATTAGATTAATCTCCGATGTGTTACGTGTCGCACCGCGATGTCAAGGGAGCTCGGGTGGACGGCGCAGGTATAATTGAGCCTGCACCCTTCATGAGCCCACTCACCCGCGAGCCGAGTTTAATGCAATAACAAAGCAACCCTGGGCTTCATCACGCGCGGCGGGAAAATCGAGTTTTCCCCGTCCGCGCGCATATATGCTAAAATCTTTTGTCCGACCATGCGGTATAAGGCAACGGCTGACTAAAGGCTGACTCGTACTACTTGAATTTATGGGTGTACACCGTTGCCTTACCGCCCTTCGCTCTTTACTTAATGGCCCTCGTGATTTTATTACGTGGCACACGATGACAATCGCGAGCTCATGAAACTTTTGCGACTGGCGACAAAGGTTTCTCTTTGTCGTAAAAGAAAAATTAAAAAACAAAAAAATGAATGTACACCGTTTTTTTTTTTTTTTTTTTTCGGCTCGAGTTTACGGACCGAACGGGTTTCTCTACTCGTTTTATGGATTCCTCGAGTCTGCGTTTGCTTCCACCCACTTTGTCAGTTGTTATACTCGAGGATCTTACAAGTGCACGCATGTGTATATACCTATATACGTATCGCGAGTACACCGCTTCGAATCCCCGAAAATAATTCCTATTTCCTCGGTCCTCTGAAAATCGATGCGACCCAACTGTCGATAAAAAGCGATCGGCCGTATGAACAGTGTATGTACGGGGGAGTACATACGTAACGGGGCAAAAGAGCCCGAGTTAAAAAAATCCGAGGCTCTCGAAGTAAAAAGCACTCTCACGTCGCTCTAAAAACATTTAGCCGCCAGGAGAGGGGTAGACAACGAGGGTATCAGCAGCTGGCAGTGCTCTTTTAGCTTCGTACCTCAGAGTCGCGTTGAAATAGAGGAAAAATGAAAAAAAAAAGCACGCACGCAAGTGACGGGGCTCAAAAACGTCCTCGCGCTCTTCCGTCGCCGCGCGTGTACACGTATGCATCGTCGTCGCCACCCACACATTTATTCTGTACAATCCTCCTCGTCGACACATCTTGCCGAACGAGGTCGGGGCATCTATCCTCTCCGGCCGCCAGTCTGTTTTTCCTCCTCTTACGCGCGAGTTTGTCTCCCCAACACTTTGGACCGCGGATGCATGCAAACACGCGAGGTATATCTCTACATCTGTACACGTTTTTATAGGAGACACGCATCCCACCCCCAAGAAACAATGAGAGGAAGAAAAGTCGCGCTCCGACAGCTTCCGTGTCGTTTTTTCCTTCCTTGCAACTATCTGTATATTATGTAGCGCGGGTGCCTGAAAAAAAAAAAAAAAGAAAGAGAACCGAGTAATGGATTTCACGCTCGTGCGCCCTATTGTTCGTCCCTCCGTGCGTTTGACGCTATTATGGCGGGGAGGAGGGGGAGAAAATGAAAAAATTAAGATAAAGAGGTACGCCGATTGCGCGCTTTCGGAGTAGAATAGGTATCTCCGCGAGAGCACTCTTTCTCATTTAAGCGATGCAAAAAAAAAAAAAAAAAAAAAAAACGCCAACCGGAAAGCGGATCGTATGGTCGTCAAATGGAATTCTTTTGTACAGCAGGGCTCACTTTTCTCCGGTGTGCATATACATATACCGTAAGGTATACGCAGATACACGCATCGGATAGCGATCGCGCTCGAGCTGTTGGTGTATTGTTTATTGCGATCGGATCGGATACTTGACCCTGGACACCCTATATATTTATATGTACCCTTCCATAGGATGATATGACGGAAGGAGGGAGTAGGTATACATGTATGAAAAAAAAAAAAAAAAAAATTTGNGAGGATCGATTGTCTTAAGGCACCCTTGTGGGAACAAACATCTACGCTCATTTATCCCTTATTTTTTACACCAGACCAAAAAACACTTTGTTCTACATGTAGCAAAAAAAAAAAAAAAAAAAAAAACTATATGTGATTTCGACCGATCGCGAACAAAGTGAGAGTGGACGAGTACTTCCACGAGTTCCAAGAGATTGATTAGTGATGTGCCATGGTGATGGATGACGGTCGATTGAAATCGAATTTTCAAAGTTGAAGTGAAAATCAAGTGGACGGGACTCCGTGTGGGGTATGCATTTTGTATAGTCGGCAGCTCGTGTTTGTCTCTTACTCGGGTATGTGTTGAAAATCAGCCTGCTGGGGGGGG